GGTAGGGGGGGGGGGGGGGGGTTCTGCATGTCTTACCGACATGCCTCGTTTGCACGGATATGTCCCCCCCCACCCACAAACTTGCTACGGAATTGGGGAAGATCCACATTTAAATAAAAACAAGTACCACCGTTATGCCTAAGGTGGCCCTGGATTGTTGAAGAAGCACTTCACCCGGAAGGTTTCTTAGCTGCAGGCATTTCTACGTGAAACTTTGTACATGTATGTTAGATCGGTTTGAAGACATTAAAGAATTATTATGAAAAGCATTTGTGGAATGAATTGTTTCTCATGGGGCACGCGAGCCAGTCTTGTGTACACAGGCCTTGCATGCATATGGTTTAGCAGCTTTATAGGGGGGAGGTTGGGAAAGGGCCGCTCTGAACTACTAATCGGCAGGCTGGTAGCTACGGTGGGGCTTTGGGGGGCTCCGCCCCCTTTCTTAAAGGCACAGCCCTACAAGAATTTCTCCTGTAAATGCTTTCCCCCCATCATTTTAAAACATTTTAAAGGCGTGTGCTCCTTTAAGCATAGTGGGGTGCACTAGTTGACTAATTTCCACACTGAGCAAGGGGGTTGGAGTAGGTGACCTCTAGGATCCCTTCGAACTCTGTGTCAAGAAACTGGTGTCCTTTAAGAGAGTTTTCCTGCCTGTGAGCTTTCTTGACTATAGGAGTCATCACCCTCCCCTGCCGGCTTGTGATCAGAATTGTTGCTTAGGCTGGCAGAAGTGATCAACTTGCAGCAGCTGAGAACTGCCATCTAAAGTGGTTGACAGCTTGCAATTTAGAGATCTATCCTGATAACAGCTTGCTATTGGCTAAGTGGCTTTTCTTTCTGCACTGTGCACTTCAGCCCCACCAGAAAAAAAATTGCCCCACAAGCCACAAAATCCTGCTAATAAGCCACAAGCCTGCTAATAAGAAAACAAAATAGCAGATAAGGACTGATGCATCACAAAGGGGGGGGGTTCCCCCCATGGTAGTCATGTTGCTGGTGTGCAGGCTTCCCAAGTACTTACCGTGATTCGGCGGGGGACACAGACGTCTTCGCAGGATCATTCCCGCGGGGACAAC